TGGCACAGTTCTGCCATAACATATTGCTACATGGAGGGCCCCGTTCAAAACTCAAAAAGATTTTCTTGGATGTCTCCAGTAAGCTCAGACACTTGATGTAAACAGTCCCCTGTTACTATTCTGTCTTCATGCGTTGTAACGTCACTTGTCACCAGTGTTTGAGGTGTATTGGAGTGTTGAAATTTTGCTTCCGTTATGTCATGAACTACGCAGACAGTAAATTAATTACAAATAATTCCGTGTAATCTAATGCTACATGACTAGGCAGCAAAGATGGCAAATGATTTTCTGCATAATTAACAAGTGATTTCCTTTTGTCAGACAGCAGAATCACTCTGTCAGGTTAGTAGCTCGGTACACTTTAGGATGTGCAATTATACACTGATTATTCTTACCGCTTTATTTGCATGTTTCCGCTAGTTTTATTTTGCAGGCTGTAATTAGTGTGTATTACTGGCACTTTTCATTGCCTCACCCTCTTCATCTGCATAAGCATCGGGTTTAAGGTTCTTCAGTAGTCAGGGTATAAACACAAAGGAGCTTGAAGTGGGGAGTCTGGGTGGGTTCTAGTAACAATGCCCCTCCAAAAGATTTCAGGCAAGTTGCAACCAATGTTCATGCCGTGCATGGTATAGGGCAATGTAGAAGAGAAAAACCAATGAAAAAGCTCCAGAAGACCACTTCACGTGTTAGCCATGTGATTCAACATTGAGGTCTCTTTGTTCCCCGACATTTGCTTCTCCGGGACTTTCCTAGTGTTACCTCTGAACAGCATCAGAAGAAGTTTAAAGTTCACCATCATGAGAGACGTTCAAGGGGTTCCATTGATGTTCACTTTCTAAAACATGCTAGTTGCCTGGTTTCAATACTTTATTTACAGACACTGAACAAATATGCTGTAAACACGACAGAATTCTTTGTTTCTCTGCTTGTTCTGGGGCAGTGAAGTCAAGAAAGCATTGAAGGCAAAGCATCAGCATGGCAGGCAACTGGAATTTTTAGAAAGAAATCAAGATGGCCGACTCCATATGTGATATGTGACAGATTTTCTTTAAAGCCTTTCTCAAATAATTTCTCCTAATACTTACCTCTCTGGAGGGCGGCAAGTTTGAACTTTGTCTTCAAGCACTACAGCCTCTGGCAGAATCTTCCGTCACTTTTGGATGTGAAGGGCGCCTGTGTATCCCAACGCATGCTGTGGTTGCACCTGCCGGCCCCCTACATCACTACAGAACACAGGACACAGCAGTGATGGAAAGGTCAGCAGATGGAACCAAAGCGTACAACAGTGGATGAGGCATTGGACATGCACTGATGTGTTCGTCTGATGAAGAGTCTTCAGCCATCAACGCTCTTGAAGAAAGCGAAGTGACTCACCGTGTGTGCCACAGAGATTAGTATTAAGAGTTTCTTTTTCAATATGCATTGTGACATTTGTATTATAGGAAACGTCTAGGGAGGAAGTATGGAGACTGTCATTGCTGACTTCTGATAATACCAGCTCGCTGGCTGTCATGCTGATCCAGTAGCCTCAGCCCTAAGTCACTGACCAGACAACTATATATTGGGAATCAATAGAAAGGAAGGTAGCCGCACTCCAAATTGATAGTCCTGGTTAAAATGTGAATGAATGGTCTAGTGCAAGACTGACCCCCTGAAATCTGCCCTCTGATGTGTTTCACACGTGTAGCTCTATGAACAAGCTCAATATAAGTGAAACATGTCAGGGAACGGCATTCAGGAGGTCTGTCTTGCATTGGAACATTCATTAAACGTCTTCTAACCATAGTTTTTACTAGGGATGCATCGATATTGGTTTTTCAGTATCGAGTACAAGTACCGATATTTTTTTCCCGGTATTCGCGGATACCGAATACCGATAACGGAAGTCCCATTAAGGAAGCCAGGCGCCATGTAATGACTTGCCACCCGGCTTCCTGATTAGCCGTGAAGCCGGGCGACGTGTAAAGACGCCCCACCCGGCTTCCCGATTAGCAGGAAAGCTGCCCCATGCTACTCGTCACTAGGTGACGAGAAATTATAGAGCCGGCTCTATACATTAGTCCCATTAAGGAAGCCAGGCGCCGTGTAACAGAGCGGCACCCTGCTTCCTGATTGGCCGGGAAACCGGCCACATGCTCCTTCGTCACAAGTAACAAGGGAGTATGGAGCTGGCTTCCCGGCCAATCAGGAAGCCGGGCAGCGTGTAATGACTCGCTGCCCAGCTTCCTGATATCGGAAGTATCGGGCTAGGCAGTATGAGCATTTGGGCGAGTATGAGTATTCGCCCAAATACTCGGCACCGATACTAGTATCGCTATCGGTGTATCCCTAGTTTTTACCTTCTAATGAGGCTACCTTCCTTTCTACTAGTACTGATTCGTGAGGTGGAGAACTAACCACTGGGGAGCCATCAGACTGAGTATCTACACCAGAGCACAGCTTGTTTTTATGTATTGGGAACTGTGACTTCATTCTGACTTTCCTTTTCTGCGTGGTATTGCTGGATCAGTGTCTCAAAAGTATTAAAGCCAGATACAACCATGGAAGTAGCATTTTTAAAAGGAAGTCAGCAGGGGCACTCATCAGTGCCAGTTGTATTTTAAAGGCCTGTATAGATGGAGGTTTATAAATCACAATTCTGATTTGATTTTGGAGCCCTCAGATGCACTTTTGTTTATATCAATAGACTCTGACTATGCAGGGCAAAGGCATTTTTTGCTTTCAGATTGCTGTTTTTATTGAACACAGCTTGTCTTATCCAAGTACACAGCACACGTGCCTCTAATACAATTGCTATCAAACAGAAGGCATGTGAAATACACGATTAGCGCAGAACGCACATTTCAGACCCTTTCGCAATGCTCATCATTCCATGTTCAAAGGAAACTGACAATAACCTTGTTAATAAAAGCAAAACGTCAACAAAAGATAAAGCCGGAACACACTGGATCGCATCAAGGGCAGCCCCCTGCGCTCAGGGGTGGGAGGGGTGTGGTGGTGCATTGAAGTCAATGAAAAGCATTGCAGCCACGCCCCCCCCCCCCCCCCAGCGTTCCGGTCCAGTGCGGTCAGAAAAATGCTGCATGAACTATTTTTTCTGACTGTACCGGACCGAAATGCAGAGATTGTGCTGCACATTCATGTGTTGGCGACCGCACTGCAGCTGGAGGGCGTGGCTGCGGTGCCATTGACTTCAATACACCACCACGCCCTCTCCTGCCCCTGAATGCAGGGAACTGGCCTTGATGCAATCCAGTGCGTTACGGCACCAAATGGGGCCGGAACACACGGTTTCTGGTGTGAATGAGGCCTCAATTGAAAGTGATCTATTCAGTTTGATACTCTCTTCTATTGCTGCTGCCCATCCATAGCAAAGCAATCTGGATGCAGCTGCCTTATATCCAGTATAGCTTTCGAGAAGGCGCTACAAATATGTCACTACAGCTATATAATGAAGGCCCAATTACAAGCATTGTAAGGTGCACTTCACTGTATTTATACACATGCTTGCCTTTTGATGCATTTTTACTGCACTAAATCGAGCAAAACACTTTAAAATAGCGCAGAAATGCATTGACACGAGTCAGAACATTCATCTTTACACATAAAATATGTAAATGGAGCCTCAATATTTATTTAAAAAGTGTGCACAAAGTTTTATTTTATCTAAAGATGAAACATCCTCTTTGTAAGGCTGCAGTTTGTTCTTTTTAAGATATTCCTAACATTGACTGTATGATTTAGTGATGATTAATCTCAACTTCTCTGATGAAACTCCCAGAACTACAGCAAACAGAGACACCTTCTGGTCTAAAATAATAATGACAACATCATGAAAGCAAAAACTGAACTTAAGGGCCCATTTACACTTCTGTGTTGTGGTAATGGCACCCCAACGCATGACGACAATTCACATTATTTTGTTGCTTCTATGATGACATACCCAAATGGTCTTTTTTCAACCTGACTAACTATGTAACAAATGACGGCTCCCTACCGTATTATACTATCTCTGTGCCTTGTATTATTTTTGTCAAAAGCCATACTAGAATACACTATTGGAGGCAGTGCAGGGTCTGGGCTCTGTGTTTTATTTTCAGTTGTTGGGATCACAAAACTATTTTGAGGCTTAATCCTATAGAAATGCTGCACACAAAACACTAGCAAATACCTGGAGAAATATCAGAGGAAAAAAAAACATCACACTTGCCACCCTATCAATGGGGTCCCTAAGAGTTCAGATCTGTTTTTTGTTCTTCTTTTTATCAGCGAGTGATATTTTGTCTCTTTCTTTATCTTGTGTAACAGGAAGCCGCAAATGTAGTTGCTGTTGGCCCTCCAGCCCACTCCATAAGACACATCTTGGCTTTACCACCAATGGAATGAGACACCAATTCCAAAGACAATATGTCAGTCTGACATTTTTGCCACTCATGTCATTGTCAAGTGGTGTCCTGAGCGCTCACTTCTTTATGTTACAGGTCCCAGCAAAAAGACTTTGCTGTTCTTTCAGTTTTAGATAGAGCAGGGAAGGGTTAAAGCGTTGGTCAGGCTTTTAGTGCCATCTGTGTCTTTATTGGGGAGATTTCCTATCAGGGCAGGAAGTGATGGCAAATCTCTCCACAGGGGGTGCAGAAAAATACAGTGACAATGTTTTTACTGTCTGTGCCCGCCCATGATATCCATACCTTCCATTTCTTGTATAGGTTTCACAGAGACAGGAAATTAAGGAGTGAGTAAAAATCCTCTTTGGTTGGGATACAGAAACAATAAGACATCTTATCTCTATGCAAAACTAGAATGCAATTTTAGCTGGAGTTGGGCTTTATGTAACCAAAATAATACCAAGGACAGTGAGGTTGCAGTGACCCTTGACATGCAAACCAAAAATATTCTATACATCTAACAGCATCAAGGAGTTGATGAAATAATACCGTGCTGAGTGAACTGTGTAATGACGACATATACATCAAATAAATGTCGATATATAAACACTCCCTCTCCAAACTGAGCTAATTTGTAGAAATTGAGCAGAAAGCACTGAAACGCATCAGTAGGAGCTGCTTGGTGGCAGAGCACATTGGCAGCTCAAAAGGGGTATTCAAATGGGGGGCATCATGGTGTGTGTGTGACCTCCTCGTGTCTTAACACGGAACTGCCAAGCCATTAATTGGTTGCAACTTGCTATAGGTCTGTGTGCCATCTTATTAAACAAGAGCGACAGATCCCTACCCTGTAGGTTCCTAGGAATTGGCTACTGTTAACGCTATGCACTTGAAAGTCAAGAGACTTGAAAATTCAATTACATTTTAATAAAATTTGCAAATCTTCTAGTACATGAAAAATAATAATGTCTTCACAGGAATCTGTAGTTATAAATTATGTAGTGTTAATGTCTTTTACATTTGTCAGTATCAAAGATTAATTTCATTACAAGACATATAAATGGGATTTCAGTTTAATGTTGTGTGTGTATATGTAGGTTTTTATTTCATACACCAACATTGCTTTGCATTCCTGTCGTCTTCAGTCATGTATTCCTATTCTTGAGTACCATATGGAAATACACAAACACTGGTACACAAAGCCTAGAACAAATCAGTTCTCTGTTTTACCAATGCACCCAGAGTTAAAAAAAAACAACATTCCTGGCAGGACGATGTTGATGGGCACAGAAGGTAAACCGGAAATCAATGGTTTATAGTTTTCTGGCAAAGCTGCAAAGTGACTTAGGCCTAAACCTCAAAGAGCAGAAGTCCAACTCCTGGTTGGCAGGCGCCTCAGTTGCATTACATTAATATACATGAATTACAAATGTGAACCTGCCAGCAAAAGGGTTAAAGAGAACCTGTCATAAGGACGCTGTTCTCTCCTTCCGAGAAGGCCACGCTCTAAATTTAATAGTTTGGGTTACTCACCTAAAACACGATTGGAGATGAGGAATTTTGACTTTCAAGTATTGAAGCCAGACACAACCTGGCCAAAAGGAATTTTCAGGAGGCAGCCAGGAATGGGCCAGGATTTTATTTTTTTTGCAACAGCTTAAATTTTAATTGGCCACGTGGTTAAGCCCTTAAATAGAACTTAAAAAGGGATAGCGATAGGTGAGTTGCCATTGCTTACTTGTTTTTATAGGCTCAAGCCCGGGGGGGGTTGTGACCTTGATGCTTGTGTCTTTGGTCTGAAGGCCACTGCCCTGGAACAAGTATACAGCCAGAGAGCTACTGCTGCAGAACAGATATGCATCCAGTACATTTTTGGGACGCCTAGTATGCTTGTTCCAGGTCAGTGATTCACCGAGCAACAAAGGAAGCCCGAACCACCTTCAAAAACAAGTCAGCAATTGCATCTCCTGTATACCTGTCACGACAAGTTCCTTTTATCCTTTACATTTTTATATTAATTTTGATCAATTTGTATCCTACAGGTATAACAGAGGAAGAACGGCAATTTTTGGCTCCTCCGATGCTAAAGTTTACTAGAAGTTTATCCATGCCGGATGCCTCAGAAGATATTCCACCACCTCCAGCAACAATGCCTCCGTCTCCACCTCCTCCATCTCCGTCACCTTTTAACTCACCCAAGTCTCCTACTCCGCGAGGATACGGAACCATTAAACCAACATTCAACATAAATGCAGGAACAAAGTCCCCCTCTCCAGCTGTTCGGTCGGATAATGTGGGGACAATAATGAGAGACAAGGGCATGTACTACAGACACGAGACTGACCGGTTCTCACTAGACTCAGAGGACATCTATAATTCCAAAACGTCATCCCAGCAAAATTTTGTAAAGAGAGCGCAGATGCCAGAGAACCCTTACTCTGAAGTAGGCAAGTTGGGAAACAAGGCTGTGTATGTGCCAGCTAAGCCTGCTAGACGAAAGGGAATGCTGGTAAAACAATCCAATGTGGAGGACAGCCCCGAAAAGACTTGTTCCATTCCTATCCCAACCATTATCATTAAGGAACCTTCAACTAGCAGTAGTGGAAAGAGCAGTCAGGGAAGCAGCATGGAGACAGACCTCCAAACCTCAGAACAGCAGGGACAGTTAAGGCCAGATGACAACCTTAATGCGAACAGTCCATTTGCTGCAGCAATTGCAGGAGCAGTGAGGGACAGAGAGAAAAGGTTAGAGGCAAGACGGAACTCTCCCGCTTTCTTATCTACAGATCTTGGCGATGAAAGTGTGGGCCCCACGCCAAGCCCAAGGTTACGGCACTCCAAGTCCATTGATGAGGGGATGTTCTGTCATGAGGAGAGCTTTAAGCATTTCACAGGTCCAACCTCTCTCATTTTAACAAGTGGAACTTCAAATGCTTTTGGTAAAAATGGAGACATGAACAACGTACGGTTAGGGAAGGGGAAAGGACATGAAAACAACACTGGTAAAGGGATTAGCGTTAAAGGAAATTACATGCACCCAGTGACAGGGAAATTACTAGACCCCAACTCTCCTCTGGCACTTGCATTAGCAGCTAGAGACAGAGCCATTAAAGATCAAAGCCAGCCCACCCCAAACCCCACAGAACAAGATAAGTCTGACCTGAACAAGCCACTCTATATTGATACCAAACTACGGTCCAATGCAGAAAGCTCATTCCCGGCAGCAACTGTCAGTTCAGGTAGGTCGAATCAGCGCGGGGTCTTAAAAAGACAGGAGACGGAAAATAAGCATGATTCCGACCCAGCAAAAGAGGAGAAACATCACGAGGAGAAGAAGAATATGTTGATCAACATTATGGACACCTCACAACAGAAAACTGCTGGGTTGCTTATGGTTCATACAGTAGACACCACCAAAGCAGAGGATGTTCTCAGTGAAAATGAAGATGCAGAGAAAGACACATCTCTAGAAATTCCTAGTGCTCCAGCACCAGAACCCAATGAGAGTGCTGAAAATGTGTTACCCAAAACAAGTGACTCTAGTATCCCTGCACCCCCTAACAAAGCCATTGTAACTGTTTGCTCTGTGGATGAGCCGGTCATCCTACCCTTCCGTATCCCTCCTCCACCATTTGCCTCAATAGATGTGGACGAGGACTTTATTTTCACTGAACCGCTGCCTCCTCCTCTTGAATTTGCCAACAGCTTTGATATACCAGAGGATCTCTCTGCAATTCCACCCGCCACCCTGGCAGACTTGTTGATGCAGAGGAAGCACGGCACCCTCCTGCCTGGATTATTTAATCCTGCTCTTGCCTCTAATTCTTTAGAAAGTAAAAAGCCTGGGGCTCTATCCAACTGCCTGCCCACCTCATACATGCAGCACCCTGAAAGCTTTGACAATGTCACAGACTCTGGGATAGAGGAGGTGGACAGTCGCAGCGGCAGTGACCACCACTTAGAGACCACGAGCACGATTTCCACTGTCTCCAGCATATCTACCTTATCTTCAGAGGGTGGTGAAAACTTGGACACATGTACAGTCTATGCAGATGGGCAAGCATTTCTAGTGGACAAACCCCCAGTACCTCCAAAGCCAAAAGTCAAGCCCATAATCAACAAGAGCAATGCACTTTACAAGGACGCCGTCCTAGAAGAAAACATGGACACTTATGTTATCCCTCCTCCTGCTCCACCTCCACCCCCATTAGGCTTGCCGCCTGCTATATTCAAACCTGGGCAACAAAGGACCTCAAAGCTATGGGGCGACTCCCCGGAGGTGAGAAACCTAGTCATGCCCAGCCCCAAAGCCAGTGTTATTAGTGAATTAAATTCCATATTGCAACAGATGAACCGAGAAAAGGCTACAAAGCCGGGAGAAGGATTAGATTCACCCACTGGCATGAAAACAGCAAGTCTTAGCACAAGGTAATGCAGACCTGTTATTTTTATTTTATTTTCGCAGAGGTTTTAAAGGTTCAGTCCATCTAAAGGTCATATTTCGGTGGAATCTTGGTCATTTGAGTCATCCACTAGATTCTTATGGTTCTGTGGGACTCAAGCAGGGAGGTCTCTCTGGCAGTATTCTGGGCTATAAGACTATATTTAGCATTCATTATGCCTTATGTTACACTTACAGATCATTTGTTTACATCTCCCAACAGCTAAGTGATACGAGGGCCTTCCTGCTGGATGCAGTTGAATGTTGTTTAAGTCGGCCCTCGTATTACAGAGTTAAAAAAAAAAAGAATACTCCAAAGGAGATTGTACAGAGTCTATACAGTCGGAGTGCAACATGTGTCACAGGAGGAGCATAGTAAACGTCCTCTTGTAACCCTAAAGATAACTATGGCAAAAACAAAAGGTTGGGCTTATATTTCTCTTTTTTTTTTTTGGTTTTGTGCATTTTTTTTTTTTATTTCAAAAGATTTTTATTTTACTTTTCATATAAAGGCTTCCTGAACTGCACCAGAGTGTCCCCTTGAATAGTAGTGAGCTTTTCAAAAAACATCACCCGCGTAACCCTGTGTTTGACTTCAGCAAAGGGGAGGTCAGGGGTCCTCCAATTTCTCGCAATTGCCCTTTTGGCCTCTGTGAGGATGAATGTGATTAGTCTGTGTTGACGTATCGTGCAGCCCAGAGGTTGCTTGAGCAGCAGAGCTTCCAACGGGTCCTTGCGGAACGTCTGACCCGTAACTGTGTATAGAAGTTGGTAGACTCTGTGCCAGAATCTCATCACCTTGGGACAGGACCACCAAATGTGAATGACCGAACCCTCCACCCGGCAACCCCTGAAGCAGTTTGGGGATTGAGATGGGATAGCTTTAGAGATCCGAAGCGGAACCAAGTACCACCTAAGGAGCAGTTTGTAATTGGCCTCAAGAGCCTGAACATTCGTTGAGCTATGAGAGGTCGTTGTCCAAATTTGCGTCCAAATGTCAGAGGCAATGGTACACCCTAAATCCCTTTCCCACTTGCAGATGTAAAGGGGAAGGGAGGCGTGCAGTTTGTCCAGTAGGAGGTTGTAAAGGGTAGATATAGTCCCTGAGCCATGCAACCCGTGATGTAGTAGTCTCTCGAAAGGGGAAAGTGGGGGAATGGGTCTTACTGGCCCCAATCGGGTCAGCAAAAAATGTTTAATCTGTAGATATTGGAAAGCTTGTTTAACATTTAAGTTATATGTAGATTGGAGTATTGGGAAAGGCACCACCCCCGTGTCTGAACAGAAATCCCTAACCAGAGTCAGGGAGCTGGAGAGCCATAACTTAAACGCAGCAGGGTTCGAGAAGCCTGGCTGGAAGAGAGGGTTGCCATGAATAGACATCAGGGGGGTGTGTGAGGACATCCATCCCAATGAGCGTCTGAGTCCATCCCAAACTTTCAGAGTGTGTTTGAGAATTGGGTTATACAGATTCCCTCTATTTGGGGGGGATAACCAGGGAAGGTTGAGGAGAGATATCAGGGAGCATGAGTAAGCCTCCAGAGAGACCCAAAGGGGCATTTCTGATTCCCCAAACCAGAGCACGAGAGGAGTCAGTTGGGCCACCTGATAGTACTTCTGAAATAAGGGAAGTCCCAAACCCCCCTCCTGTTTAACCCGGTAAAGAACTGAATGTGAGACTCTAGGGAAGGAACCTTTCCAAATTAACTTTAAGATGTGGCGTTGGAGTAGCCTAAGTCAATAAGTGGGGATCGGGATCGGAAGGACCCTAGCGTGGTATAGAAATTTGGGAAGCAGGGTCATTTTAACGGCTGTGATCCTTCCGAGCCACGATATGGAATGTTTTTCCCAAGAGGACAGTAATGATTCAAGGTGTGAGAACAGTTTCGGATAGTTTGCAGCGTACAGTTGGTCATAGGAGGAGGTGAGATATATCCCCAAGTGTGGCAACGCATGGGGCACCCAGGTGTAGGGAAATGATTGTTGTAGGGAGGCACAAAGGGAGGGGGGGAGAGAGACATTGAGGGCTTTGGATTTTTGCAGATTAACAAAAAGGCCTGAAAGGGTACCAAATTGTTGTAGTAGGGGTTGGAAATTCGGGAGAGAGTGCAAGGGATCTGTAAGAATTAGCAGTGCATCGTCCGCGAAGAGGCCAATTTTGTGATGATATCCTGCCACCTCTAGACCTGTGATATCCACGTGTTGCCTTATCGCTTGGGCGAGAGGTTCTATGGCTAGAGCAAACAAGAGGGGGGAAAGGGGGCACCCCTGCCTGGTTCCCCTAGTGATTTCAAATTTTTGGGAATGGAAGCCCTGGTATTGAACATATGCTGTGGGCTCAGAGTACAAAGAGTCTATTAGGTGCATAAAGGAGGGACCGAACCCCCATTTACCTCGAGTAAAGCGTAAATAGTCCCACCCAACCGAATCAAAAGCCTTACTTATATCCAGTGACAACAGCATAGCGGGGAACGTCCTCTGGTGAGCAATATGTAATAAGTGGGTCATTCTCCTAACGCTGTCCCCCGCTTGTCTACCTAGCATAAAGCCCACTTGGTCCTTGGAAATTAGTTTTAAGAGAGGGGATTGTAATCTTAATGTCATAATTTTGGTGAGTAGTTTGAGATCAACATTGATCAATGAAATCGGGCAAAAGTTGGACCAGGAAGTGTGATCTGTTTCAGGTTTAGGAATCATGCATATGGAGGACATCAGTGATTCCTTTCTCAGTTGCCCACCCTCTCGCAATGCATTAAAGTACTTGGTTAGGTGAGGGGCAAGGATGTCTGCTAGTTTTTTATAGTAAACGGCCCCGAAACCATCAGGGCCAGGCCTCTTCCCAGTGCTAAGTAGCTGGATAGAATTCAAAACCTCCTCTAGCGTGATGGGTGCATCAATAGAATTACGGTCCTCGTCGGAGAGGGAGGGGAGATTTAGGGAGGAGAAAAAAGCCTCCCCGCTCGAGGTCTCCAGGGGACCCGTGGAGCGGTATAGCTCTCTCAGGTGCAGCCTAAAGGTGTCCAATATTTTAAGCGGATGTGCTGTCACATGTCCACCGGGAAGCCTCAATCTAACAGGGTCACGTCTAGAGTTGGCACCTCTAAGCCTATGTGCCAACATCGTATCCGGCTTGTCACCTTTAAGATAAAAGTGATGTTTGGTCCAAGTCAGTCGGTCATTTGCAAGGTGTGTGAGGCACAGGTTCAGTTCTGTTTTAATATGAAATAAGCGGGACCTATTTTCCGGAGTGGGGGTCCGCTGGAAAACCTGAGAAGCCGATTGAAGGTCCGATTCGAGTTGGTCAATACGGGATGTCCTCTCTTTTTTAGCTTGAGAGGCTAGTTGGATCAACTTACCTCTAATGGTGGGTTTATGTGCTTCCCAGACCGTGAGAGGGGAGGAGACAGAGTCCATATTCAAATCAAAATATTCAGCCAGGGAAGCTTGGGCCGAGGCCATAGTAATTGGGTTGGCTAGCAGGGAGTCCCGTAGTGACCAAGTGAAGCCAGTCCTGAGGGGGAGAACAAGATTGATATTAATGTGGACCAGATCATGATCCGACCACGCTATTGGGCTGATAGTGGCTGAGGACACTTGAGGCAATGCTATATTCCGTATCAGTATGTGATCTATACGGGAAAAAACATTGTGGGGGTTGGAGTAAAACGTAAACTGTTCAGTTAGTGGATGGAGCTCCCTCCAGGAATCCACCAAGTGATATTGTGTCAGGAGGATCCGAAATCTCTTAGCTGTAGAGATATCCGCGGGTGGAGTTGCCGGGTGGTTGGGGTCATGTCGGTCAACATGAGGGTGTATCGCAAGGTTGGAGTCCCCGCATAACAACACTGTCCCCTTAGCATGCGAGTCAACAACTTGAAACAGGTGGGGGAAAAATCCCAGCTGATTAACATTAGGGGCATAGTAGGAGACCACAGTAACCAGTGAATCGTGGATTGAGCCGACCAAGATCAAATACCTGCCCTCCGGATCTCTGACGACCTCCTGACTGACGAAGGGAGCAGAACGACCAAAGGCTATCAAGACTCCTCGATGTTTAGTGGGTGCAGAGGCTAGAAAAAAAAGGGGATAATTAGAATGCAGGAATGTCGGATTATACGATTGAGGAAAATGCGTCTCTTGGAGGCAGACAATATCAGCGTTAATTTGTTTGAAGTGTCTAAAGGCTTTTACCCGTTTGTTAGGTTGATTGAACCCCTTAACATTGAGGGAAGCTATCTTCAGGGCCATGTGTATGGAAGACCTAAACAGGGGTGTAAAGAGGAGGGGAAGAAAGGACACAGAAGAGAGAGGGACAAGGTGATAGTAGTGTGTTCAGGGGGGAGGAAGGACAATACGGTAGACAAGAACCAGAATTTGAGGATACTCAAAAGGCCGGAAACAGTCTCTGAACCAGCAAAGAAGGATATCGTTCACTCAACAGGGATCCGGGCAAGTGCCCTGTCCAAGGAAGTGAAGGGTAGGGTGCATGGAGGGTACCAGAACGGGAGGCAGACCTGCTAAATGTAATAAACACATAGCCCTAAGGTAAGTGACTGAGGGACCTGGGGGTCATTAACAATCGACCTCTAAGGTGGTGTCAGCAGTTACAAGGAGATTTAGATAAACTAATTAAAAAAAAAAGAAACATATAAAACATAAACAAGGCAAGTAGACTGGGAAGAACTTTGCGCCCCCGGTTTGATGTGTCAATATGGAACCCACACTGTGGCCATAGGATCCGTAGGGCAAGCCACCTCCAAAAGAGTCCAATAGTGAAACCACAAAACAGCAAAGGATCACAGGAACAAGGAATTCAGAAGAGACCAGGAGCTACCATAGGAGTATCCATAGGAGTCCCAGTTCAAGGGATGGTGATGGTACGGTGTGGACAATAGGCAGTCCAACAATCGGGGACCCACACCAATACGAGATGACGTGAGCAGCGTCAACAACTGTGAATGGAGAAACCGAGCTCAACAACTGGTGA